ACCTCCTGTCACAAGGTTTATTTTGGGTGCTATGCTCATCCTGACCACTAGGTGACACAGTAGCCTCACTTTTTTCTGTATAAGACAGGAAGCAGTAGAGTAAGAAGCAGATTCTATTTGAATTCTTCATGGCTTCTTTGTTAAAAAAACAATCCTGGTCTGAGAAACGTTTAGTTTGCTGCTCAACCGTAAGTTTGCTGTTCTATTTTCACACTTTGCTGTCTGTTTGTAATTTGTGGGTACTTTTGTTAAGTTTAACCTTTAGTGGAGTTTACTGTTTAATGTTTTGTGTATTATGTTTGTTTGGTTACTGTATGGATGGACTCTGATTAGTTATTATCTTTTCTAGAGGATTTTTATTTGATCCAATTCATGCTAATGTTGCATGCTAACAACTATGAGGAGTGGATGTACAACTTTGGTGTTCCTTTGAGTGTGTTATCGCACCTGTCCAAGGATTATACCCAAAGCTACCCGGCCTACCTCTGCAAGGATTTCTACATTGCATCTGTAGTCTCATCAACAGATAAGACAGTTAAACTGCTCATAAACTGCACTAATTTACAAAACTGGCACAAATCGTCATCAGCATTGCTGGACATTCTGTATTCAAAACCCTGCTCATTTATTCTGGACATTGTGTGTTTTTTTTGTTTTTTTTTGTGACTGTTTGCTAGGGGAATTTGTATATTTGTGAAGCATTTAATATGGTGTTTGTGAATATTTGGCGTGGACAGTTTAATACGGTTTGGAAAAGGGATATCCCCTGTCTTTGTCCTTTTTTTTTTTCTTTTTCCTTTTTCTTTTATCAAAATTTTGTTACACCGTAACCAGTAGGACCTCTTGCAAAATTGATCCCCCCTTTTACTCCTATAACAGGCCCGGTTTAAAATAGTCAGAACAGTTAAAGTCTGGCTTCAGCATTGACATTTACCCTGTGAAAGTTACACTGTGTAAAAATAAATGCAATTGAACCTTTTTTTATTTATTTGTTTATCTTATATTTTTTGTTACAGAGAATGGAGTAAACAGGTTTGTTTTCATCAGTAATATCAAGACCTGGAAGGATGCTCAGAGCTACTGCAGACAGTATTACACAGACCTTGTCATCATTCAGAATCAAACTGAAAATAACCAGCTGACTGTGCTGATGAAACCATATATAAGTGCTTGGATTGGACTCTTCAGAGACGTGTGGAAATGGTCAGATGAAACAAATGTCTCCACTTCCTCCTTTACTAGACTGCCTTTACAATCTGGGCTGCATAGTCCTTGTGGTGTTTCAGATCCTGGTGGTATAATCAGTTATCAGGTCTGCTCAAACGTTCTCCCTTTCCTCTGCATGCACCGTAAGTTTCATGTCTGGTCCTTGGCTAATAATTGTTCATTACAAACATTAGAAATGAACTTCCTTCTAACCCCATTTGGTCAGCAAGTGTCTTTAAAATATATATGTTAATTTGCCATCATGCTTCTTTAATCAGCTGTCACATCCAAAAAAGTCCAAACATTACTTCCAGCTATTCCTCTTCCTGATACTGGACTGCATAACAATGTTAAAAAATATTAAGCCTTAACCCTAATCCAAAAATGAACATTCTGTCATCATTTACTTACCCTCATGTTGTTCCAGACCTGTGTGCGTTTCCCACATTCTTCAAAATATCTTCTTTTGTGTTGTGAAAGAAACTGATACAGGTTTGGAAAAACTTCAGGGTGAAAAAATTTACAGAACTTTCATTTTTGGGTGAACTCTCCATTTAAAAAGAGCTGACTGCAAGGTGCATTCAGAAAGAGCGAAAAACATATTTTATAAAATATATTCTCAAAACATTATTATTATTATTAGGGCTCCCATTATAATTAATTGCTTCAACGTTTAAAGTTCTTTTAAATTAAAAATATTAATGTTGCTTTCTTCAAATGATCAGTGGCCAGGAATAAATAAAAATTTTATTAACTAATTAATCACACATTGTTTTCTAAAATTAATCATGATTAATCCCACCTAACATTAAAGTTTAAATATGCTTTTATATTGCAATTTCATATTCAATCTTCAAATTAATGTAGAAACAACAAAGACAGCATATTTTTAATATTTGTTTAATGGAATCTTTTTTTTATGACTGAAGGTGAGTATCGCTGATACCAACACTACAGAAGTCTCTAGGAAATTGTTCTTTTTCCCTAATATTTAACCACTAACTATAGCCATTTAACATTACAGTTTAATAGAGACCTATCAATTTTAACATTTATTAGACTTAAAACAATAACAACTTTGAATTTTTGTGAACTTAAAATAATCTTCACATAAGCCCATTATAATAAATGTTATATTTACCTGTGCCCTTCAGCAAGTAGTAACTATACAGTAATTTGGCTGCTCTTAAAGCCGCTGCTGAACGTGACACGAATCTGACATGCATGCTTGTGTAGTTTCATTTGCACTTTAATATCAAATAATACAGGCTATAGAGTGCAGTATTTATAGTATTTATGCATGCAATTGACCCCTCGCAAAAACCTGCTCTCCATAATTACTGTTGCTATGTCCGACAAGCCATGCCGCTCTTGCACTACACATCATGTTATCAACAGTAAAAAATACATCGTGTAGCAAAGAGGAAACTGACAACACGTCAGCAGACAAGACAGCAGGTTACTTCTGTTATGAAACAAGGTCTCAGCTTTCAAATTTTGTCATTTTGTAAGAAATTCAAACAATAAATACCATTTTGTGGCTCTTTAATGTGTCCTGACAGATCAGTGTGCCTCAGTTCAAGCGGCACGTGAACCTATCGTCTTATTTGATTGATTGTCATATTTACTTAAAATACGTTCTGATGTTCATTCATGTTTATTTCGTGCTTTATTTCAACCGCAGAAAGATGTCAATACACACCATTTTTCAAGTTTAAGTCCACCGAAGTTAATCTACTCTCCTGTCTGATTTGTTTGTTGGGCAAGATCGCAGATTCTGTGTTATGATTGGTCAGATCACACAAGCCGTTTGCAAACGGTCAATTGAAGAGCATGCTCTATGAGCACAGTGTAACGGCTGACAGGACAGGAAATTACTGACATATGGCCTGATAACATCTCATCTGACTGCAGTTCACTTTTGTTCTACTGAAGCTCCCTCGTCACCTTTACCGCTTGTTTGACTAGTACCTGTCGCTGAGGTGAAGGGAAGTGCACATTTGAAAAGACTCCCATTTGATGTGGCCATAAAGACGTACTGCATTCAAATAAATGCAATTCTTGTAAAGAAAAAAAACCGGAAAAAAGCCAACCCTAGATCCGCCCCTGCATTAACTGCGTTAAATATCTTTAACGGCATTACATTGGCAAATTAATCATCTACGTTAATGCACTAATTTTGACAGCACTACTTTTTATATTCTAACAGGTGCAAAGAAACAGATTGTTAGACTGAGGGTCAAATCTGGTCAGAATCTTAATGATCCTGCAGTGATGACTGTTATCTTACAGTGGGTAAGTATTAAACAATTTGTGTTAAAACAGATAATGGATAATCTGCAGTTTCACGTTTCAAAAATATGATACTGTACAATGTAGTGCCCTATGAAGCATTAGTGGTACATGTCCTATGTTATTATCCGACATAAAATTAACCATAATTTATAATTATTGTAATTTATCTGAAGGATTTGTAAGAATTCAGGTACCTAGTAGAGCCTTTGTTCACTAACACAAGAAAGAACCGTGTATAAAACTAATATGATTTATTAACAATAGACATGCAAGATGTAAATACCACAACTATTAGTGATACCAATAAATGCATAATCACTGCTGACAGATCATTAAAAAAAATAAACGTGAAGAAAAGTACTAAGTTAAATCATAGAAACAAATAAATTATATGAAAACAGGATAGGTGCATGCAATGCTTGTTAACTGAATGTAGCAATAGAAGAGAATTTTGTGGTAATGCTTCTTATGGGAAACCACTTCATTGCTCAGGCAAAAATGATAATAAATACCTGCTTATTTATCTTTAAAAAATAATATTGCTACTATTTGTAACACTGACCCCAGGTAAATGTAATTGTCACAGTTATGTTCTGTTTGTCTCTGTCTTTATGGACTTTTAGTTTGTTTTCATCCCTCATGTGTTCCATTGACCTAGTTTCCCGTCTGTGTCTAATTGTCATTTGGTTCAGGTGTGTCTTGTTTATTATCCTCAATTGGTCTGTTTATTTAAGTTCCTGTCTGTTCAGTTTGAGTTCGTCGGGTCTTGTCGATTATTACATGTGTTAAAACAAAAGTTATGCAGCGTGTATCGGCGTGTTTTCTAATTTTTGAAAGTTTTTATTTTTGGTATTATTTATGGACAACCCTAACTGCTGGAGCAGGGGGAGCGATCTCTCGAGGACCATGCCAGCACCATACCATATCTGGAAGGAGCGACAGAGCTGAGGATCGCGAAGCCAGAGCCTCAACTGACATCTGACCAGGTGCATGAGCCGGCAACGAAGCCTGACGCGGAGCATGTCACAGTGGAGCGGGAGGGCACAGAGATAAACCTTGCCCACTGCACCACCGCTGAAGTTGGTGGTTATATTTGGATATGCCCATTCTTTTCCCGCTTTCTCCTGAACTGTCAGTCTGCCCTGAACTATTTGTCCGTCCTGTCACGACCACGGAGGTCGTTCCCCTATCCACTGTGCTCCCTGTGATGGGCGTCACTATTTGGTGTGTGTGGGCAGCGCACACCACCCCAGAAACGCACAACATCCCAGAAATCCCACCCGGTCTCCCTCTCCCACCTTCTCTCATGAGCTGTCTGCCGCCATCTGCCCCTTTGCTGTTGTATCCTGCCAGTCCCTCAGCTCACCCTCAGCCCACCATCAGTGGTGTGATTTTGCCATGGGTCCATCAGTCTCCATCGGCATTGTGGCAAGAGGATCCCTTGTCTCCACCTCCAGCCTATGAGTCCTGGACTCCGCCTCGGCCCATCGACCCAGAGGCTCCACCTTGGCTTCTAGCTCCCTCATCTCCACTGTGGCCCATCAGTCTACCAGCTCCGCTGGGCTCCCTCGTCCCTCTGGCTCTGCCTTGATCGGTCATCGACCTGCCTTTGCCTCAGGACTACACTCCTCCGACTTCCCTCATCCCTTCATCCCTCTGGCTCCAAAGGGCTCCTCCCTCCCTCCCTCCCTCCGGCTCCACCTTGGTCCTCTGTCGCTCTGGCTTCCCTGGCCCTCCAGATCCTCCCCGTCGCCCTGGCTCTGTGACTTTCCGTCTCCACCCTGGACTCCTCTTCCACCTGCTCCGCCACTGTCGGTCAGCCCCCTGGAGTCGTCAGCCCTTCCACCACCATGGCTCCTCCCTCCATCAGCTCCACCGTCGGTCACCTTCATGGCTGCAGTCTAGGGCTGTATGATTAATCAAATGCGATTGTCATGCGTATCTTTCAGTGAAGCATGGTTCTGTGATCAGTAGTAAATCTCCATCCGAAGGCCAGAGGGCCCTCTCGCGATGAAACTCCAAATATGCCCTGCAGAAGAAAGGTAATGCACGTCGTTTCCAGGTTGTGTAGTAAATGCTGTTCCATCTGAACCTGCTTCTGTATACCTTCGAACCTTTACACGGCGAGTTTGTCATTTATAATGTGCATTTGAAAAAGCAACATGCATCTTTTAAAAACATGAGAAGCATTTATGAACGTCTTGTCCCACAAAATACCACATTTAATAACATGTTTTTATTCCATACTTACTTAGCATTGCATTATAAATGTGCTTTATTATAATGAAAATGACAAAAAGAACTCGGATAAACCATATATTGTTGTAGCCCTGTGTTTATTAATCAAGTTGAATCAATGAATCTGAAACTGTTCAATCTTCTGTTTCCTGGAACAAAGTGCATTACCTTTCTTCTGCGGGGCATATTTGGAGTTTCAGTGCGAGAGTGCCCTCTGGCCTTCGGATGGAGATTTACTACTTATCACAAAACCGTGCTTCACTGAAAGATATGCATGACAATCACAGCTTTTGCCTAATCTCGATTGCATTTGAATTTCGATTAATCGTGCAGCCCTACTGCAGTCTGGGTCCCACCTGGCTCCTCCTGCTCCCTGTCTTCTCCCTGGCTCCTCCCTCAGTCTTGATCCGCCGTACTTCCTCCTGATTCCTCCATGGCTCCTCCCTCTGTCATCACCACACTGGTCATCTGCCTGCCTCTCATCCTGCCTTTCGCCACCACCTCGTCCTCCACTGGTGATGCAGATTGCGTACAGTGGGGAGGGTACAGAGTTGCGTTCCAGTAGCTGTTGATACGCTGACCTGGGTGATGCTGAACTTCCATTGTGCCAAGAGGGTGCTTACTATATGGACCAGGCATCTGGGCCAGTTCAGAAACTCAGAACTTGGTGTATCTGTTAATGTCTCCTTTCCCATTGAGTTGAAAAAACACAAAACGAAGCTGTGACCAAAGTCCCCATCCAGATTATAAAAATGTGCATAGAGGCCCAGCCTGCCACCACACAAATGGCCTCCAAAGATCCACAATTAGATGACTGACAATTTCTAGTAGAGAGACCTTGAATGCCAAAAGTTGAAGTTAACCCATGTGCCTTGTAAGCAAGAGCAATTGTATTTTTCACCCTCACATTCTTTGATCTGAAACACCTCTTGTAGCCCCCAAAACAAAACAAACAACTGATCACATTATGCCACTGGCTTGTGCAGTCAATGTTAATATGTAAGGCCCTTACAGTACAAAGACTGTGACCTTTGAAATATTTGCCCCAAGGTACTGACAAGATGTCTGTCATAATTCCCTGGAGTTGCAATGCTGCCTGAGCGGCATTCATGCACTTTATGAAGGTATGAATTGCTAAGGCCATGCCGAATGGAGAAACCTAGAATTGGTCAGCTTTGCCCCCAAAAGCAAACCTGAAGATCTTCCTGTGTTCCAGATTGAAGTTCAAAAGTATGCAAATCCCATGATCAGGCATAAACTACCATCCCTCTTTGGTGTCATAAAATCTCTCTGCAGCCACTCGGAGCACTTCAGTTGAAAAGAGGTGTGCAGCATTAAAATTGGATAGCAAACCCACCTCTATGATTTAAACAACCTTACAAAAGAGAGCATCAGACTTTTATGACTGAAGTTTGATGATGAAGACTCAGTTGACTAAGGCCTATATCACTGAAGCCTATATCAAGCAATACAGTTGCCTGACAGTCATTGTGTAAGACTAACTGACCGACTGCTGATGACTGGTAACAATTATATGCCTTATACGGTGGAAAACCGTATAAGTTTCAAATCTTTTACTGTAGATTTGAAACTCCCAGTCTAACACCCCACACCCGCTCTGAACATCTCTCCACACAACCATCAACACCTCCTGCAACCCCCCTCTCCCCCATTCCTACGTTTCAGATCAGTGAGGATGATGTGCGACAGGTCTTCAGAAAGAACAAGAGAAGAAAAGCACCAGGCCCAGACAGTGTGACACCAGCCTGTCTGAAAACCTGCGCTGACCTACTGGCCCCCATCTTCTCATAGATCTTCAACGGATCACTGGAGCTGCGCAAAGTCCCTGCCTGCTTCAAACGCTCCACCATCATCCCCGTCCCAAAGAAACCCAAGATAACAGGACTTAATGACTACAGACCTGTGGCCCTAACGTCTGTGGTCATGAAGACATTTGAGAGGTTGGTGTTGGCTTATCTGAAGGACATTACTGGACCCTTACTAGACCCCCTGCAGTTTGCTTACCGAGCAAACAGGTCCATGGATGATGCAGTCAATATGGGACTGCACTTCATCCTGCAACATCTGGACAAAACAGGGACTTATGTGAGGATCCTGTTTGTGGACTTTAGCTCCGCTTTCAACACCATCATCCCAACACTCCTCCAGACCAAACTAACCCAGCTCTCTGTCCCTAGCTCTATCTGTCAATGGATCACCAGCTTTCTGACAGATAGGCAACAGCTAGTGAGAATTGGTAAAT